GATGGATGTGAAATAGTATTTAGTACTAATTTTGCCTTTCTTTGACCATCATGAAGGTAGGGCATCTTTTCATGTTTAACATTAGGAATTTCCCATTTGTGCATTTCATGTTCTGTCCATTTTTTCTGTTGTCTTTCTTATTGAGAGGTGTGTGTTTGTTTCAAACTCTTCTGAATACTAATCTTGTGTAGGTTGTATGTGAAGTCGCTATCGTCTGTCAGTCTGAGGGGAGCCAGAATGCAGGTCTTCTTATTCTGTGTCCTTTGCAGTCTACCTCTTACTGCTAAACCAGATTAATTGGATGCTTAGAAGGGAAATTAATTCCTGGTAGGTAAAGCGGTAGCACACTGTTAGGTTCATACACTAATTTTTCTTGAAGTAGATGGAGAAGTTTCAAAATACATGTTAATACTATTAGGGAATTGGCACTTAGGAATTAAATACTGAATTTTACTATATATTGTTACCACTGTCTGCTCAGTCATTATAATTTTATAAAATATATTTGAGAAACAGATTGCTTTTTGACAGTAAATAGTGAAAGCCATTTCTGACTGATTTGTATTTTCATGATATGGCCAAAGAGGCAGGGTGGTCTGTTTAGATCCTACAATTTCATAATGATGTTGTATTAAAGTTATTTACTCCTCTTCTGCCTCAGCTTCTAGATTTAGTATGTCCTGGACTTCTCTTTCCAAGTCAGAACATCCTCTTTGGATGAACACACCCCTGAATGTGTGCTTTTTTGCTTTTGGTTTTTGTTTAGATCCTTTCTTCCCAATTAAGAACAAGATGCCAAAGCTTTTTTTTTGCTTCAAAAGTATGAAAAGAAAAAGTATAGTAAGGCAGAAGATGTTAATAATAGGTGGTATTTCTCTTCATTGGCCACCTCTTGGCTCATTTGCAGTGCTGCGGGTTTTCTGGACAGCCATGCAAACGAGTTTGGTTACCTAGCAACAGAAGCTGGAACTGATGCTGTCTCTGATGCAACAGTGAGTAAGAAACTGCAGTTATAACAAAAGGAGTTTGATACTGTATTGTAATAATTTCCTTAATCTCTATATATTTTATAATTGTAGCTTTAATTTTTAATACATGTCACAAGGAAATAAGCTATGGAAGTTTACTTATCAGTAATTTCATACTGGAAAATCAGAATGGTAGAAGGGAGCTCAGAAATGTCCAGAAAACAGTCGAATGCATTGCTCATTCATACTTATTTTCCAAGAGCAGAAAATAAGTTATGATCATAAATGTAGTTGGATTTTGAGTGTAAGAGTGTTTGATTTTTCTTACCCATATAGTAGTGACTAAAGTAAGCCTTTTAAGAAAATATGGGTACAAAGGGCGTCATTGTAAAACTTTGCAGCAAACCCAAGGAAAATTGTTTAAATATTAAACTTTTTTTGTAATTTCTAGGTAATTGAAATTTACTTTTAATATATATATTAAGGAAAGAACTCAAGGGATTATTTTATTTGATCTGAGCAGATACTGTCAGATGGTAGCTTATTAAAATTCTGACCTAATAAATACACTACCAGATAAAATTGTTTCAATGTGATCTGTGCTTTGAGCTGATCAGCATATCTTCCAGAGTTGTTTAATTTTTCCTAAGGAATAGGTACTGATAAATTTGTTGAGGGCTGGTGGGTTTGGGGGAAAAATAATTAAATGAGTAGGTAAAACCTGAAGGTTATATTTGGATTTAATGCAATTGATAAATTAGTGAGAGAACTTTCTTAATTAATCTCATTGATTCTTTGCTTATACTGTGCATTTAGATATTTAGAGTCATAGGCAGATTCCTGAGTTTGTAATAAATTGTCATCTTCAGAAACCCATTTCTTTATTCGTTTGAATGGCTCTTGGGGAAGTAGAAGTTGGGAGAGAATAATGTCGATCAGCCTTTGAGCCTCTACTCCAGAAGAAGCAGAAAGTAGTACCACACATCCAGTGTTCTAGTTATTATAGACAGCATAAAGCTATAATAATTTACTTAAAAATATTGATGAACTGTTACGAAATTCGCTCTCAACAAGCAGAATCTGATAAATAGAAATTAAACATGATAATCTTATATAAGCAGTTGTGGTTCTTCAGTGTTAGGTAACAGTCATTTCATTATGTACGTGATGCTGTTGCTTTAGCATCTAGGTACTTTGTATTGTATCGATTTGGGTTTTTTTTGTTGGTTTTTTTTTTGTGAGATGGAATCTTGCTCTGTTGCCCAGGTCGAAGTGCAGTGGTATGATCTCAGCTCACTGCAACCTCTGCTTCCCCAGGTTCAAGTGATTCTCCTGCCTCAGCCTCCCAAGTAGCTGGTATCATAGGCACCTGGCACCACGCCTGGCTAATCTTGTATTTTTAGTAGAGGCAGGGTTTCACCATGTTGGCCAGGCTGGTCTTGAACTCCTGACCTCAGGTGATCCTCCTGCCTTGACCTCCCAAAGTGCCAGGATTACAGGAGTGAGCCATCACCCCCAGCCATGTTATTTCTATTCTTTAGGTTGTGCTTGGCTAAGAAAAATGTCTATGAAAAGAAAATGAATACAGTTAAGACTGTAGTACTATTGTTTTTTTGTGTTTGTTTTGTCTTGAGTGATTCCAAACCTTAATGTATGTACTCAGTTTTAGGCTATTGATTTGACATCTAAAAAATGGAGTATATAGCTCTTTATCTACCCTATTTTTTTATTGGGAGAATAATGTGGTTAATTTTGGAGAAGAACACTCCTGCATTGTGATTGTAAATAGTGGGTTGTTTGCAGTTGCTGTTGCTGGTTGCTTACTACCTGTTCCTGTATGTCCTGTAAAATAATCCCATGTTGATTGGACTGTATTTAAGCCCTGGTTGATTAGGATTGCAACTTTAGTTAAATCTAAATGGCCTTGTCTGGTTAAATTTATATGTTTTTAAAAAGAAATGCAAAACATTTATTATGGAGCCATGCCTATGAAAGATAAAGGATGCCAAAGTGGAATTAGGCAAGGAAAACTTTCACACTGTGATGTACATTTGCTCTTCTTTCACTCTTGATGTTCCATGTTCCTTCCAGTGTCATTTTCTTCTGTCTGAAGAACATACTTCAGCAATACTTTTAGAGCAAGTCTGATGGCAGCACATTCAGTTTTCCTGTCTGTGAATGTCTGTATTTCATCTTCATTCCCAAAGGGTATTTTCACTGGATATAGAATTCTAGGATGACAGTTCTTTTCTTTAAGTACTTGACGAATGTTATGCCACTTCTTTCTGGCCTCCATAGTTTCTGCTGAGAAATCTGTAGTCATTCGAATCAAAGTTCCCCTGTAAGTAACATGTCACTTTTCTCTGGCTGCCTGCAAGATTTTTTTTGCTTTATCTTTAGTTTTACCAGTTTGAATATGAGATGTTTGGGTCAGATTTCTTTGAATTTATGATTTTATCTTTTTTAGAATTCACTGAGCTTCTAAAATCTGTAGGTTTGTGTCTTTTGCTAAACTTGGGAAATACTTTTCAAATATTTTTTCTATATCATCGTCTTTCTCTTCTAGTATTCTGATGACACACGTTAGATCTTTTGTAATTTTCCCACAAGTCCCTGAGGCTCTGTTCATCTTTTTTTCTGTTGTTCAGATTGGATGATCTCTTTTTTTTTTTTCTTTGAGATGGAGTCTCGCTTTGTCGCCCTGGCTGGAGTGCAGTGGCGCGATCTCAGCTCACTGTAAACTCCACCTCCCACCTTTCAGGTTCAAGTGATTCTCCTGCCTCAGCCTCCTGAGCAGCTGGGATTACAGGCACATGCCACCATGCCTGGCTAATTTTTGTATTTTTAGTAGAGATGGGGTTTCACCATGTTTGTCAGGCTGGTCTTGAACTCCTGACCTTGTTATTCGCCCACCTTGGCCTCCCAGTGTGCTGGGATTAGAGGCATGAGTAACTGCACCCAGCCCAGATTGGATGATTTCTGTTGATCTTCACTGACTTTTGCACTGCCACTTTGCTTCTGCTGTTGAGTCCATATGATGAGTTTTAAATTTTGGTTACTGTATCTTCTTTTTCCTTGCAAAGTCTCTCCCTTTGTTTCAAGAGTGTTTTTATTTTTGTAATAACTGCTCTAAAGTTTTGGGTGATTCCAACATCTCTGTCATGTTGGCATTGGTGTCTGTTGATCATCTTTTTTCCATGTGAGTTGAGATTTTCTTGATCTTTATATGCCAAGTAATTTTGCAGCATATCTTGGACAGTTTGAATATTGTGTTATAGTATTCTGGGTCTTGTTTAAGTTCTATGGAGATTGTTGATATTTTTGTTTTAGCAGGCAATCATCCTGGTTAGATTCAGGCCACAAGTTCTGACCAGTCTTCACTGGCCTATAGTTTCAATGTTAGTTTTTTTTCTAAAACCATTAACAGTTATTTAGATTTGTCCTATGTGTGTACCACCTGATAACCAATCTGGGACCTAGGAACTATGTCTATTCCCTAGTTCAGTTTTCAAAATCTGTAGTTTGCTGTTTAGAGCCAGGACTATGCATGCATAAAAGGCAAACCCAAAGGTATACACAAACCACTCTCTGAACTACTTAGCCATCTTCCCCAACCACTTCTGATCTCAATACTGTGCTTGTTGGGTTGTGCCATGGATTCTCATGTTTTTTCTCCTTTTTTCCCCTCCCATTGTAGACAGTGAACATGCTTTTACAGGTCATTGTATTCCTCTAAAAATATTGCTGTATATAATGTCTAGAAATCAGTTCATTCACTTGATTTTATTTTATTCATGGGCACCATTATTAAATCTACTCTTAAAAAATACTCTAAAAATACACATATATTTACTTTTCTAATATGACATGCTTTAGAAAGGAACAGTAGAAAAATTCCTTCCTTTGATATGCTATAGATAAATTGTAGTTGGGTATTTATTAGGGGTATCTCAGACTGAAATGAAGACGATTTTTTTCCTATTAAGTGGGGTGAACATTATTTATGATTTTCTTTCTTTTTTTTTTTCCCAGAATTTTGATTCTGACATTAGCAGTGTGGGAATAGATGGCTGCTGGCAGGCAGACAGCCAAAGACTTCTCAATGAGGTGATGGTGGAGCACTTCTTTCGACAAGGAATGCTTGATGTAGCTGAGGAGCTCTGTCAGGTAACGGTGTGCCAACTGGGAGGATATGAAAAAGAAACAAGGAAACTCCTTGAAGTTTACAGTATTTGCAGGGTGGGGTTTTGAGTCTTCCTTTAGCTATAGATAGATTTTTAATATTTTAATTATCAGAGATGACCTCGTTTTACTAGGAATTTTGGGGGGAACTTTTAAGTGACAAAAATACAGTTCTAGAACTTGTTATCCAAATTATTATTCTCTTGTACCTGTCCTAGAAGGTTAGTCCCAGGTCATGAATCAGAGGGCTCAGAAGTGATCCTTTCTTCGTTTCCCTTTTGGATAGAGAAGGTTAGTATAGACAAGAGGAAAAAGACAAAAACATTGATGTTTGTTCTTCTGATCTAGCCCAGCTTAAACATTTTTATCAAATGGATTTCCAACTAAAATTTTACTTCATGTTAGCAGCATTTATCTTTTATTTCTATCACACATAAGCTTAGGGCTCTAGAACAGTTTACCAATACTATATAGTCATAATAGGAGCAGCTGCTATATATTGAGTGCTTACCTTAAGCCAAGCCCTGCCTTTATTCCTTGCTGCAGTCCCATGAAGTACAAATTATTTTTCCATTCTACAGATGAAAAAGTAAGTAACTTGCCCAAGACCTTAACAGGTTCTTTGTGAAAGAACTTGGGATTCAGTCCCCTATTCATGTGTCTTCACACTCTGTTCCAAGCCACCATGTGCTGTTGCATTTTTATTTAGAAAAATGAAGGACCAAAAGGATTAAATAATTTTAAATTAGTCTGTAAACCAAACCTCTAATCTAAGCCTTTTCTATTTTAAACAATTCAGATAAATGATAACTCAGGTCTTTCTCTGTACTTTACAGGGCTTTTGTGTGTGTGTCCATATAATTTCCTGCAGTAAACCATCATTGAAGGTAGTTTGCTTTTAAGTAACAAAAGACCCACAATCACAGTGGCTTAAGCAAAAGTGAAGTTTTTTGCTTGCAACAGAAATAGGTAGTAAGATGTCCACAGCATGTTTGGTATCTCTGCTCTGTGAAACTCTTAGGGACTTAGCACCTTGTAACTCTTATTCCCAGGGTGTTTCCTACCCTCAGGGTCGAGAAGAGCAGCCAAAGCTCCAGCCACACCTTTGTATCCCAGGAAGGGGCAGAGTGCATGTTTATATTTCATTGGTCAGAACTTTGTCTTACAAAGCCATACCCAGCTTTAATCCATTTGCTTATGTACCCTGCTGAAATTTGGGGATTCTGCTGTGGAAAAGAGGGGAAGAATGGTACTAGGGGGCAGTCATCAGTCTCTACTGTAGGAAATTATCTTTAATGGTTTGCCCCATATTTTGCAATCTAGAATATACTTTTACCACTATCTCCTTACCCTGATTACTACTAACAAAAGTTCTTTCTGTTTTTTCAGGAATCTGGTCTTTCTGTAGACCCAAGTCAGAAAGAACCATTTGTGGAGTTAAATAGAATATTAGAGGCATTAAAGGTCAGAGTTCTGAGACCTGCTCTCGAGTGAGTATTGAGTTTGCTTTCTTTTGAGTACTTTGAGAACTCTGTAAGAAAACTCAATGAGAAAACACATTAGAGATTTGTAGATACATTTATCTCACTTGTGGTAGACTTCAGAGAAATTGAAGGAGAATTATTTATTTTAGCTAAGTGAAATATGGAGCGGATGCAATATGAGAAAACAGTTAAAGCTTTTTTCACTTACCAGTTGGTTTGAATTCCCATGAGAGAAAAGGGTTATCTGTTTCCAGGCTATACCACCACTTTGTGTGGGCTGGCATTATAACAAGCACTATTGTTCAGGCAGTACAAGTTTGATATTTAAGCTTCCATTAATGTGCTGGGTTTTGTGCTAGCATTCTAAGAAATAATTGGTTATTGAAACTAGTGGTATGCATGAAGAAAACAAATATTTTTATAAAGGCACGCTGTTCTTAATTACTGTGGATTTTGGTAATTGACTATGACCCTCTCATTGATAAGAATTATCTGAAATTACTGAGTAAGCTATGATAAATATTCTAGAGCAGGGTCAGCAAGCTTTTCCAAGTAGTAAATACTTGAGATTTTGCATTTCACATAAGGTTTCTGTAGCATATGCTTCGCTTTATTTTACAACCCTTTAAAAATTTAAAAACCCATTCTTGTCCATCTGCTACACAAAGCAGGCAGCAAGCTGTATTTGGCCCGTGCCATAGTTTGCTGACCCCAGTCCTAAAGTTTTTTAATGTGAGGATTACCAGGTTATTAGTAATAAATAGCTCATAAAATAAAGGGAAGACACTGGATGATAGAAGCAGTGATTTGTTGTGAGGTTATAGCTTTAGAACCCTGGTATTTTAAAACCAGAAAAATTTGCCATCAGTGTTATGGGTTTAGTTGGGAAGTTGACTTTTATAAAATGCACATTTTTTCGTTAAAATTTAGTTCCACTAACCCATTTAATTTTTTATAGCTTAGTTTTTTTTGTTTCTAATCATTTCTCAGTTTTTTTGTTTTGTTTTTGAGACAGGGTCTCACTGTCACCCAGGCTGGAGTGCAGGGGCATAATCATGGCTCACTACAGCCCCAACCCCCCCGGCTCAGGTGATCCTCCCACCTTAGCCTCCTGAGTAGCTGGACTACAGGACTGCCATTATGCTTGGCTCAATTTAAAAATTTTTTCTTTTGCAGAGACAAGGTCTCACTATGTTACTCAGGCTGGTTTCGAACTCCTGGGCCCAAGTGATTCTCCCACATTGGCTTCCCAAAGTGCTGGAATTACAGGCTTGATCCACTGTACTTGTCCATTTCTTAGTTCTGAAAAAATTTTGTTTAGTTCTAAAACCAGCCCAGATGACTAGATAGAAATTCCTTTGTAAATTTATCCAAAATTCCTGTATAAATTATAGTAGATCTCACTTAAGAATTGTACCGCTGTGTAAGATGCATGAGTTTGTTTAAGCAAGTTTTAGATTGTGACATATCTGGAAGATAAATTCAACCAAGTACCTCTAATACCTCTTAAAATATGGCAACAACCACTTCTGGTTTTTTTTTTTTTTTTTTTTTTAAAGAGATAGGGTCTTACTCCGTGTCCTAGGCTAGAGTCCAGTGGGATGATCAAAGCTCACTGTAACCTCTCAAACTCCTGGACTTAAGTAATCCTCCTGCCTTGGCCTCCTGAGTAGCTAAGACTACTGGTGCATACCACCACACCTGGCTAATTTTTGAATATTTTATAGAGACAAGAGTTTTTCTGTGTTGCTCAGGCTGGTCTCTAACTCCTGACCTCAGCTTCCCAAAGTACTGGGATTATAGGCATGAACCAGTGTACCTGAGAAAGCCTACTTATAAACATGTAATGGGTTTCCCAGTTGTTTTATAGTGATTAGGAAATAATATTTGGGTTGTTAGTCAAGGTAATATGTGTTACTTTGAATATGCATTACCTTATCTATGCTTTTTTTTAGTTTTTTTTTTAATTAAACTTTGTTATATATGTGCTAGTCATGTATATACTACGAATAGTTACTGGCACATAGTATTTGCCAACATAGTCTTCAGAGTACTCCAGACTTTTCCTACGACCCTTTTTAACTTTGCATATATATGTTTCTTGTTGATAAGCCTGTTACATATATTGAGTATTTCTATAAGTTTTGTCTATTATTTGTAGTCTTAACACAATTTTTTTCAGACAAAGAGAGGTCTTGTTCTGTGTACTTAGTGGTAACAGTGGGAATTTCCATAAGTAAAAATTTTCTCATTTCATGTTTCTGGGAATATTGTTTAATATCAGCATGAGGCAATGTAGTGGTAATTATAGTTAACTCTTCTTGAGTGGTTATTATATACCTAGCTAAGCATTTTTATATGTCTTAACCTGTTTAACCCTCATATTAACCCTATGAAGTAAGTCATCTTATAGAGAAGGAATTAAAGCCTGGAAGATCCTCTGTGGGAAAAAGGTCAAAAGATTATATGACAAATGCCTCAGTTAATAGTTCCCCAATGTTCTCATTTGAGATTCACTTTAACTTCTTAAATGTGTCATCAAGCCTGGTGCAGTGGCTCATACCTGCAAGTCCAGCATTTTGGGAAGCTGAGGTAGGGCAGATTGCTTGAGTCCGGGAGTTCGAAACCAACCTGGGCAACAGAGCAAAACCCTGTGTCTACAAAAAAATACAAAAATTATCTGGACATTGTGGTTCATGCCTATAGTCCCAGCTACTCTGGAGGCTGAGATAGGAGGATCACTTGAGCCTGGGAGGTGGAGTCTGCAGCAAGCCAAGACCACACCACCATCCAGAGTGGTATCTTGTCTCAAAAATTAATAAATAGAAGTAATAATGTACCATCAGTAATCCTACAGTAAAGAAACTCATTTAACTTGGTAATGAAACAACCCAGTGTTTTCTATGCATATTTGACCAAACAGTTCTTGTTTTCCCTCCAGATAACACATTTTAGACCCACAAAATTGGAGTTATATAAAATATGTTTGGAAAATGATTTAATAGAAATCATCATTACAACAACTCAGAGTTTTGCTATTCTTGCCTATTACTTGTAGATACAGAGCAGATATGAGCTAAGCATCTTTTGTGAGCTAGGTACAGAAAATTCACTTTATTCAACTTATAGCAAAAGTTGAATGATATGGGACACCAATTTGGGGAATTGTAGTTCAGGTACAAGGGGGAAGATACCTGCCAGTTATGCAGCATCCCATTTGTTGCTGTTAGTAAGGAGCATCATGGAGCTCAGAAGGGAAAAGAGGAAGGAGACGATGCAGTAATTCCTCCAGGCTGCCTAGGCAGGTGAGAAAGCAGAGGCCAGCCAAGAAAATTGAGGTGGCTAAAGGCCATTGAGGGCCTGGAAGGGAAGGAAGCTTTGAAGAGTGTTAGCTGTTTAGTTGCAGCAATGGAAAGAAGGCCCAGGGGAATGGTGATAGGATGGAGAGAAGTGGCAGAACAACACCTACTTATATAGACAGATCTAGTCAGCACCTTGCTTACTCCTTTGTTTGTGCCTTTGTACTTCTGAGTTTGTACAGATTTTTCACCTCATCCAGATTTCTTTTACGCTCACCCAGATTGTTTTATTTGCTTTTTTTTTTTTTTTTTTTTTTTTTAGTAGAGATGGGGTTTCACCGTGTTGGCCAGGATGGTGATCTGCCCACCTCGTCCTCCCAGTGTGCTGGGATTACAGGCATGAGCCACCACACCTGCCCTCTTTATTTGCTTTCTAAATTTCTCTTGGCACCTAGGGTAGTGCTTACCTCATAGTAGACCCTCAGTGAATAGCAGAATAGTTTGAAGGAGAATTTACAGCAAACATGTCATCGTTTTTTATGTGCCAGATAGAAAGCCAAAACTAATTAGTGTTAATGAGTGAATAATAGTAACTTAATACAACAAGGTTGGGGGAAATGTTAGAAAAATTAGAAACTGTCCTTGTAGCTATGCCGTTATTGACCATTTTGAAAGAAAATACTATCTTTAGAGGAAGCTACTTCATTGCCTTTCTAAAGGTATCTCAAAGAGTAATACTACCTTGCCGGATTTGCCAAAGTCTAGTTGACTTTCAGCCTTGCAGACTTGGAAACTTGTTTTTGGTGTCCTTGTTTTGTTTCCCTAAGAAAAGGCCTTTAAAAAACTAAAACCTGAATTGCTAAGCTACATGTATAGTTTGGATTACTTGGGACTGTGAAACTAGCTTGTGCTAGGCAGGTCCACATGGAAGGCACATGAGCTTGCTAAGCCTGGAGTTGGAAGAAGAGAAGATTGTTCTAGAAAATGTTCAAAGTTCTCAGGCTGAAATGTCCTGATGCTGTTAGCTCTGCAATGAAGGTTGTGTTGCAGAGCCGCTGGTCAGTTCAGACTTCATTCGCGGACTCCTTTTTTCAAAATAGTCCTTGGCTTGCCTTGGTCAGTGTGTTCTTAGCTTTCCATTATTGGCCAAACTCCTTTTTAAAAAAATTTACATTGTTAAAAGTTTATGTTATCTTGAATTAATTGCTTTAATTTAAAAAAGAAAAAAAGTTTTTTATGTGAAACCTCCACATTTGAGTTTTGAGTCAGCATTAAGTATCCCAATAGGCAATAAACAGAGTACGAAATCAAAAGGTACAATAAAATAAAAATACAGTGAAAAGTAAACCTTTTCCTCACCTTTGCCTTCTAATCTCAGTTACTTTCCAAACAGGCAGCCGCCATTAACGTTTTTCTTGTGCATCATTCTAGAGATAGTCTGTAAGTCCACAAGTTTATGTGGGTGGTAGTTCCCCACTTACCTACAAGGGTTACGTTCCAACACCCCCAGTGGATGCCTCAAACTACAAATAGTACTGAACCCTATATATGTTGTTTTTTCCGTATATATACATACCTTTGATAATTTACTTTATAAATTAGGCATAGTAAAAGATTAACCATGTATGACATTAATCAAAAATGACATCTCATATTTTCACTTTGCATTTATCACATAAGTGAATTGAGTTGAGCCACATCTTTTCT